TGGCCAAGAAGCTGGAGAAGCTGGAGAAGCGGACCCAGAGAGCCATCGCAGAGCTGATCCGTAAGTGCTCTGGCCAGCGGGGGGCGGGGGGGGGGGCGCTGCACTCAGGGCAGTGGCTTTTGCACAGGCCTTTACCTCTTGTCTGCTGTCCTTTCAGGTGAACGGCTGAAAGGCCAGGACGACAGCCTGGCCTCTGCAGTGGATGCCACCATTAGACAAGAGGCTTGTGACTCTGACTGAGATGTTTTCCGTGTCCTCTCTGTTCAGCACACACATCCTGTGGGAAGATAGTCTCAGACAGGGATGGGGTTAGGCTGGCCAGCACTTCTGGGTCTTGAGAACTGAGCCAGCCCACTGAGTCTCAGCTTCTGTTGGTTGTTACCAGTTCACCTCCCAAGGGTGTCCACCACCCCGAGTGGGTCAAAGCTGAGGTCTGTACATATGTATGGGAATGGAGCTTTGTAACTTCTGGAAATAAACCTCCATTTAGTCGAGGCCTGTGGCTTCCAGCTCTCTAGGTGCTCTGGGGTTGGACTGGGATGCAGAAGTTTACTCAGTGTTCTTACCCCTGGGTAGGGCCAGCCTAGTTGAGCCAGGAGGGGTGGGCAGGGCCAAGACTGCTCCTAGTCTCTAGTCAGAGTCAGCCGTGGTCATCTCGGAACCCTTAGGCCACAGATACAGAGACAGGGATTGTCCTCTTAAGACCCCTCACAGGGCCTTGCAGTAGTTGGTGCGAATGAAGGAGAGACTCCCACATGGTTCTTCTGGACCCCTCCTGGTATGAGAGTGAGGAGGGTGGGCTCTGAGGAACCTCACATAGAACATCGTAGATTAGAGGCTATCACACTGCTTCCCCCGATCCTGCACGGCTACCAGCAATGCATCTCTTTCCTCTCCCAGTCAGAGCTATGGGACAGTTCTTCTAGAGATCAGGCTGTGGTATGCTAGGGTTTACCTGTGATCTTGGAGCCTGGGCCTGTGACGTCCTGGCTGAGCTGTGAGCCTTTGAGTTGCTTCTCTAGGTGACAGCCTGGCAGCGTGAAGACTGATGTAGGTATGGCCATCTGGAGCTCCCCTCCAGGAAGATTCCACCTACAGCTTGCAGGGCCAGCCCCAGCGGACTTCTTTCTTGTTCTGGTTCTTCTTGAGGCAGCAGAGTGAGAGGAGCTTTGGAGGGGGTGAGACTGGGTCTTAGGAGATACTTGGGGTTGTTGTATAATAACAACATGTTTACGTAGCTAAGTCTAAGGCACTTTGCTACTGTAGCTGACCTGCCTTTGAGGCCAGAAGCTGCAGTCTCTGGCATTCAACACCTCAACGTAAAACAGCAGGCTAGTAAGTAAAGAATTAATTGCTAGAGCCTTTCCCCTTTGTCCAGATGCTTCTCATTGGCCAGGCTAGGGGGAAGTTTGGAGCAGTAAACGTCTATTGAACCAGGTGAAGAGCTAGCAGGGGGAAAAACTTTTACATGAGCAAATATGGATTAAGCTCACATAAATTCATATACAGATTCATGCATGCACACTTATACATTTCCATAAAACCATTGAGACCCAGCTTGCATACATTCTCACAATTACATACGGATACACACACACACACACACACACACACACACCCACCCATACTAACATATGCATTTGGAACAAATGACCAAGCACCAGTGCAGAAAGAACTCACCCATTCTGGATGAAAAATGAGCTCCAATCTTTATTGCATAGAGAAAGAAAAAGCTTCTGCCCTTTTATTGCTAACTGAATTAAACCCAAATCTGTAAGAGAAGAAAGCTTTGTTCTCTGTAGTAAGAAAAGGCCTGTTCTGTCCCATGGATGGGAGAAGCCTGCCTGCTCCTTCTGCTCTCTCTGCAGCTTCTTCTGTTTTCCTTCTCCCCTTAGCATGCTGCTTATTGGTCTCTTAGTTTTTTAAGTTGCCTTATAGTTTATAAGTTATTTCACTCTGCATTCTAATCCTGCTCTCTCCTCCTGCTCTGATGTCACAGTGATGCCCTTCCTCTTAATACCATTATTCCCAATGGTATGCCTTTACTTCTAAGTTCTTCTTGTGTTCAGTTTTGTCTACAAAAGTTCTCCTCAGCTCAGTTCTGACTCTTCTCGTCGTCCTCAGCACTTAGCCATCTTTCAGAATACATGGTCACATGGTAAAAATACATTTTTCAGAATACATGTTCATGTGGTATAAAAAGTTCATCATACATTTACACATAAATAAGTTTATATGTAACAACAGAGTGTTTACACGCATAGCCATTAGGAGTAATAATCTGGCTAGACATTTATTATGTGTCACAGCTCTACAGGGTCATGGAGAGTTAAA